CTGACCCACTCGAGCCAAAATCCTGAAGGGACCAATATACCTGAGACCCAGCTTGCCCACTTCTTGAATCGGATGACATCTTTCTAAGGTGAGACCTTCAAGAGAACCATATCTCCCACCTGGAACTCTAAGGCTAACATTTGCAGCCTGCTCCGAACCTGCTTAATCAGCTCAGTGGTCTTGAGCACCACCTTGGTACTCCCCATAACCCGTTGAACGACCTCACACAAAAAAATTGGGGTCATGTATTTCCTCTCGTAGAGCATATCCAAAGGAGTTAGATCAATGCTAGCATGATAATTGTTGTTATATGAGAATTTCGCTAATAGAAGATAAGTATCCCAACTCCCACCAAAGTCCAACACATAGTCATGCATCATATCATCGAGGGTCTGAATAGTCTGCTCGCTCTGACCATCGGTCTGCGGATGGAATGTTGTATTGAAATGAAGATGAGTGCCAAACTCGTCATGGAATCTCTTCAAGAACCTAGAGGTGAACCAAACATCCCTGTCAGAAACTACTGATACCGACACCCCATGATGTGCCACGACCTCCCTAATATAAATCTAGGCCAACTTCTCTATGGAAATACTCTCCTGAATCATAATAAAATCTGAGCTCTTGGTCAAAAAATTCACGATGACCTCAATCGAGTCCACTCCGTGTGCAATCCTAGGAAGCTTCGTGATGAAATCCATAGTGATGTCTTCCCATTTCTATATGCAAATCTCCAACGACTGCATCTTGTCGTGAGGACGCTGATGTTTGGCCTTGACCTTCTTGTAGTTCAAGCACCACTCCATATACCATGCCACATCCCGCTTCATGCAGGGCCACCAATAATCAGGATGAAGATCCCTATACATCCTCTTCGCCCTAGGATGGATGGAGAACCTTGACTTGTGAGCCTCCTCCATCAAAATCTAGCATACACCAGCCCAATACGGAACCCAAACACGTCGATGTAGAGTCAATAGTCCACGATTATCATAATCAAAGGAAGCCACCTGACCCAATATACGCTCTCTCTTTCGGTGCTCCTCCTTGATATCCTTAACATGTGCCTTACAAATCTTCTCTAACAACGGAGTAATCAGAGTCATCCTCAAACATGTATCCCTGATCAGGGTCGCGACCGCCTTGCGGCTAAGAGCATTGGCCACCACATTGGCCTTCCCCGGTTGATAAAGGATCTCACAATCATAATGCTTCACCACATCCAACCATCGACGCTGCCTCATATTCAGATTTGGCTGATCCATCAAATACCTCAAGCTCTTGTGATCCGTGTAAATAGTACAACAAAACCCATAGAGGTAATGCCGCCAAATATTAAGGTTGAAAACCACGACCCCCAGCATACATATTGTTGGGTTAAGTATCTAAGCCCATAACTATAATTGGTATGTACTTGACTCGATAGTAGCATGGTCGTTTTGGTTTGCCTTCAAAGGAACAATTTGATAGGATGGATATTTGAGAAATAGGTTATTTGTGATTTATTATATATTATAAATATAATATATTAATTGAGAAATCATATTACTTAATTGGTATTGATCAAGAATAAATTTGGAATTAATTTTTTGATCAAAAGAGACCGATTAAATTTACAGGGACTGATTAGGTAAATCAGTAATACTTATAGTTTGGGCTAATGATTTATGTTGATTAGAGATGGACTAAATCTATGTGAGAGTCCATGAAGAATTAGTCTAAAGAGCCTCTCATATGGATCATTGGAATATGTAAAGGCTTAAGTAAATTAGGGCTTTATGTATGAAACCCTAAGGATTCCACACTATAAATTGAACCCCTAGCCTTTCTAAAATCGACCAATCATTTCCAAGGTAAAATCCTAGCTGATTTTCCTAGTCTCTCTCTCATAAGACTCCTCTTGCTTTTGGTGTTTGTGACTTATTTGAGGTACGAAGCTCTTGAAAGTCCAAGTTCTACAAGATACAACAAGATGTATTCATCTAACTTTTTTATGTTGTAAATTTCAAAATCGTATGCTAGTTTGGGTTCATGGTTTGGATAAATGAATATTGCATGTATAATTTGAGAAAGCTTAGATCCAAAGCATTAGGTTTGTATGTGCACCATATGATTGTTATAATGCTTAAAACTCATCAGTGGTATTAGAGCCTGGGGTGTTTTCTGTTATACTGATGCAATTGTATTGTTTTCAAAGCTTGAAAATTTTCATTTTTGGCCTTTACTCAAGGAGTCCTATGAAGGAACTCGACGAGTAGAGCCAACTCGACGAGTCCATTGCCTGACTCGACGAGTTGGATCATCTGGTGGCAGAATTTTCGAGTTTTTGGCCAGGTTTAGATTAAGATCATTACCACAAACTGTTTTGACTAATAAGGTTTGATTTTTCTGATAAGGTAATGATTATCATCATCCAGTTGAATGATGATTGTCAAATTTTAAGATAATTACTTGATTTTGCGAAAAACTAATTATTTGAAGAATATCATTTGAATCATCTTGCTATATGAAATTAGATTCGTTTAATTGAGTGATATAGTTAATTATATAATTAATTTAATTGTTTTCAAATTTATCCAAGAGTTTTCAAAAGTTTCAAAATTTTCCCTCAACTTTTGAAATTTAAAAATTGATTAAAAGGTTTTAATTTTGAGATATTTAATTCTAAATCCTAGAGTTTTAAAAGTGTAAAATTTAACTTTTGTACTATTATAATAGTAAAAGCTTAATACTTATATATATATATATATATATATATATATATATATATATATATATATATATATATATATATAAGTTAGTCCACTACTAGAAAAACAGTCTTTCACGACGCACAATGCGTGTCGTAAAACGCTCAGATGACACGCAAATGCATGTCCATGATGGCCCCGTCATAACGAGAGACGACACGTTTTTGCGCATCGTCTATTTACGACGCGCGGGTACGACACGCATTTACGACGCGTGTGTTTATGACATGCAATGCGTATCAAGGAAGCCCTATCATAAAGGAAGACGACACGCCATTGCGTATCATAATTTTAAATGTTATATATATATATATATATATATATATATATATATATATATATATATATATATATATATATATATATATATAAAAAACATTTAGTATGTTTTGCTGAATTTTAAGAGGTACAAACTTTAATGCAATATTTATAATGAGTTTTTGCATTAAAATAATACTGAACGTGAACCGGTCAACATAAGTTTTAAGCCTTGATCCTCTTGAATTGCTCCTCATTCCCTATCCCGTCCAACAACTCCCCTGCAATGTCGCACTCCTACAGTTAATCTTCTTCCACATTTATATAATCGTCCCCTACCTCCACTCTTCTTTATACCACCACCTCACACCTAATGCCATTCCTCGCACCACTTACCATAGTCGTCAGCTCCGCATCATAGCAAGACCGTCGCACCACTATTACGCTATCATAGCAAGACCGTCGCACCACTTTGCTCATCTCATTATACTGTACATATTCTAAAAATAATTTTAAAATGCAAAATAAATGGAAAAAAAAAATTAAAATATTATTTTCAGAACATGAATTAACTAAAAAAAAAAATAAAAAAAATAAAAGAAAAATAAAAAAATGCGTCTCACGGTCTCACAAAATATAGATGGTCTCAAATGAACCTAACCCTATATATATATATATATATATATATATATATATATATATATATATATATATATATATATATATATATATATAATCCTAATAAAAACCTCTCCTAAATTACACTTGTCAAACTATTAAGCTACAAATCTGACACGTGGCATCACAATAAACAATAACCAAAAAAAATTCCCGCCCATGTACACATTCAGAAAAAGTAAATCCGTCAATTTAGCAATCCATATCCAAAATAAATTCAAAATTCAAAATTCCTTATTCAATATTGAAGATTGAAGATCACGATCCTGTATCCCTTAATTTCAGCAGCCGAAATTTATGCCTGTCAATTATCCTCCAATCTTCTGATCTTCTGATTCAAATATACCGTAGATAAATCCCTGAAAATCAGGTTCAAAATAAAGGCATACGCATATATCAGTTTATATAATAATAAATCGGTTTTACTATCACTTAGTATTATATTTCACACATTCTTTGACGACATTCTCTGTGAGCTCTGATGACTTCCATGGAACAGGAAAAACTAAGCACAATCGATGATAATAATAAAAGGTTTGTGTTTCATTTCTATTGCCACTCATCTATATCTTTTAATCATTAATTAAGATGTCTATATTTCACTGTCTATATTTCAATTTCGATCTTTATGAATTATCTATACTCAAGAAATTTATGTTTATGTAACGAATATTCATCTTTTGTAGCTTTTTTCATAACTTATTCATTTAAAACAACTTTTGATAAGTACAATGCTTAAATATTCATCTGTTTTTTATGTTTTTGACTCATCATTTTAATTTTTCGGAAAAACAGTTTTACAAAGTTTGGGATTGTTTTCAATTTCTTTCTTTATGAATTATCTATACTCAAGAAACTGATGTTTATGTAACGAATATTCATCTTTTGCAGCTTTTTTCATAACTTATTCATTTAAAACAACTTCTGATAAGTACACTGCTTAAATATTGACAGAATATACACACTTTAATGTTTTCAACACAATTATGTACACTAAGTTATTGATTTAAATAAACTTATCATACGTACGATGCTTAAATATTCATCTGTTTTTTTATTCTGTTTTACTCAAATTCTCATATTTTGGTAAAGCTTTTATGTCTCCATACAGTTTTTATATTTTTCTTCAATTTTACCATTTTGAAATTTTTTGAATATAAGGTGTTTATTGATTCATCTTTGCTATGCATGCATCTTTATGTCTTTGAAGAAGTGTACATATATACTATTACGGATAATTTCACTAATACTCTCTTGTAGTTACCAATTATTTGGCATCTAACTTATAGAATGGATTCTGATATTTGTAGGGATATGTCTACAACAAATATTAGTTTCATAGCTGACTTGGATGTAACAAGGGATGATTTGAGTATCAAGGTTCGTGTCATAAACCATTGGAAGCAAATGTCTTTCTACAACAAGAATGAAATATGGTCCATTGAATTAATCTTGGTCGATGAACAAGTATGTTATATATATCTTTACGTATGTGTTAAATATAAATATTTATCTATTTTAATGTTTAATGCTTATAATATATTGTGTTTTTAGGGGAGAAAAATACAAGCATCGGTCCCTAAAAAATTCCTCTATCGATTCAAAAAAATTTTAAAAGACGGGAAGTCATATTACATCACATCTCCAAGCTTTGCATCTCTGAAGCCTAATACTTTTAGGTTAATTCCCCAAGATCAAAAACTCACGTTTGTGCAGGAAACCGTTGTTAAAGAATGTACCCAATTTAGCGGGCCTAAATTTGGTTTTTCTTTTGTTGATTTTCAATCTGTGCTGTCAATGGTTCATCCTCAAATTTTGTCACTCGGTATGTTTATTTATTATATTTTTTACTTAATGAAATTTCAAGTTTTCATATTTAATGTTTATATATGATATGATATGATGTTTCCATATTCTCAACACCACTTCATTCATATTTTTCTTATATCTTAGATGTTATTGGATTGGTAATTTATGTCATATGGTGTGGTTTTTAAGAAAAGGTAATTTATGTCATATGGTGTGGTTTTTATCATTACATCCTATGTATCTAAATTTTTTGTAATTGTATAAAAAAACAGGTTACAAAGGGATGATCGTCTAGATTCCTCTTCACATACTTTTTCACTTATTCCTGCCAACCAAGTTTCTGAATATGATGACTTCATGGTTAAAAATAAGCTCAAGACTATTTCTGAAGTTTGGGAACCAGTGGAGGTATATGTGATGGTATATTTATTAATATACTTTTTTTGCTTTGCATATTTATTTTTTGCAAACTTACTTTTTTTATCCAGATATGTACATTTATTCTTGTGGGCACTATAAAAGGAATATTACAAAATGAAAAATGGTTCTATCAAGCGTGTACAAACTGCAGTAGCAAAGCAGTCCCTAACAATGATCAAGTAGATGGAACAGCTAAATCTTATGAATGTCATAACGTAGATTGCACAAAAACTACAACTTCTGTGGTTCCAAGGTTCTTACCGTCCATAAAAATCTTTAAATAATATCTAATACCAAATATATATTAGTATAATTTTTTATTTTCTTAGATATAAGATTCCGATCCGTGTTCAAGATAACACCGGCACTATCACCTTAACTCTGTTTGAAAGAGAAGGAAGGTATTTGTTGAAGAAATCAGCCAAAGAGTTTTTTAACACCGTAGCCAAGGTCATTTCAACTTATTAGATAAAATGTTGTAAATTTTGTATTTATTTTCACTTTAAGATACATATTTGATAATGTTGCATAACTGCAGAAGGGAGACAATGTTGATTTGTACCCAATGGAGATGAATGCATTGAAAGGTTTGAAATTTGCCTTTAAGATTTCTTCAAATAGATTCAGTGTGTCCAAAAAAACCAACCAATATGGTATTGTTAGAATTTCTGATGATGAGAGTTTAATCGAACAACTTGAAGATAGATTTAATTCTTCTCAAGTAAACACATTACGTATTATTTTGTTTTATGTTATTTAGCTAAACATGAAGTATTTAACAAATAATTTATTTTGCTACCTATTTTCTTATACAGGCAGATAATTCACAGTCATTAGATGTTAATTCATCTGATTTTCAATCTCTTGACAACAAGACTTTAAAGGTATTATACATTTCAAAATATCGAATATAGTATAAAATTATAATTTGTTTTATAAAAGAATGATATATAATTGTTTTTTAGGATGCAATTTCTGCTACGGATGATAACATAACTCCCAACACTTTGGACAAAAACTCGGCAACAAGTCCACTGAAGATTTCAACAACACCAGTTTTAAAGAGAAATCTGCAAGAAGTTTTTGATTTGGAGTCTAATGAAAATTTTTCATCGTCAAAAACTCCAAAGACATCCCCAGATGGTCCAACAAAAGAATTGTTGAAGGTAAAGGTGGAAAAGAATGTCTGACTTAAGGTTTCGTGCTTAATTTGGAATGCTTCTTTGGAATGGATTTAAATAATCATAGACTACTTTTTATTTTTCATTATCGTATTTTAACATCCTACTTTTCAGTTTGAAAACTTTTGTTTTCCGGTGCTGGTTTTTTTTTTAATTTTTCTTTATTATACATTCATAAAACCTTCAAGATTCATGTTTTAGTCGTTTTTTATTACAATATGATTTGTTTGCTTATTATTTCTAATACTTATAAAATAGGTAACACTACGACTCCATGAATGATGTTTGTGAATTCAATTTAAGGGCATTAATTAAATTCCTACAATGACTTCTAATTACATTCATAAACGGTGTAATACTACATAAAATACGTACTTATGTTCTATCTTACGCAAATAACAACCAAAAATTAGAAGGGATTCTTTATTATAACATCGTATTATTTGACCAACATAAACATGTTTCTGAAAAGAAATAACCACCACTGATTTTACGATATATGATTTTGATCAGTATCTTATAAATTATAAATATTTTTTTACGTGAATCAATTAACACAATTTTACTTGATTTTGCATCCTTATGTTGTACCTTAGGTAAATAACAACCAAATTTACTTTCTTTTATTATTATACCATCTTATTACTTGACAAACATAAAGCTCTTTAACTGTTACTAAAAAAAATGATAAAAACTAATTAACAAATATCTTATAAATATTTGTTAATTGACTCACATAACAGAATTTTACTTCATTACTATTTTAAACTACAATCCGTAAATATAGCGAATACAATCTGAAAAGTAAAATGTTAAAAAAAATCGATATACCAGTAATTATATTATTTTATAGACTTCTTTGTCTGGTTTCTTACATAATATTAGCTTTATACATTATTTCTTTGGCATATTATCTTTGCTGTAGATAGAATTATTATTAAAAGACAGCCTACTTTACCATGTTTGTATTACAACCAAAAAAATGTACACTACATAATATATGCCTAAATGACAATTCAAACATTTTTTCTTTAAATTATTTTACTATAGTTTTAGGTGGGTTTATCCTTATAACTTAACTTATTACAGCAAAGTCATGTATTTTGGTTTCTGTTTGTCATCGTTAACTACAATAATTTCTTGTAAAACATAACTGTTTTTTGTTATAATAATATATCAGAACAAGATAAATACAATACTAACTATTTTGAAATGCAATTTCTAATGTATTACTTCCCAGATTAGCATCTTGCAAACAAAACTTTCTTGCCTAACCTAACACCAATCACATAAATACCCCAGTATACTCAGGTAGAAAACCCTAAATGATTATCAAAAGTAATAATTTCCAATTTTTTTAAAGGATGAAATTACTAAAAAATTAACAAATTGATCAGGAAGTTCAACAAATACAAGAGCATGACAGGATAACAAATATTGCATAAGAGGGAGACTAACAGCTTAAGTAAATCCAATAATACCAACCCATAAAAGATCAATAAACATCATCAGCTCAACTAAACCAGGGAAAAAACTCATGAACTGGATACAAGTAAGGGTAAAAACGTCTAAACATTTATTTTAAAATATTATAAACTTTGACCATTCGTATTTGGAAGGTGTATAACATAAAAAAATTAACTTACTTACTTATACTAATAACAGTAATAATCTGCACAAATTGAACCCTAATTTATAGCAAATTTGAATTTTAAATTTCAAATTAATACACACAATGAATTTCAGAATTTAAATCAGATTGGAACTTACCTGATTGTGTCTCCAGTGTTGAGTGTTAACCTATTCGTCACTAGCACTTCATTTTTCGCTCGGAACTTCAAACACGTCTTTGCTGCAGAAAAATCACAGGTAATGTTATCTTTCAAGTAATGTGTTTTCTCTGAAAGAATCTAACAATTAACAACGATGTAGATAACTTCTTTCCTTCGATTTTACCCTCTTCAACCCGAATTTTTTCCTACCTTAATTCGCCGACTTCTAAATTGCACTATAACTTTCATTTCACTTTTAAATTCTACTGTACCTGTATTATCGTATATGCCTTCATCCTTAGAAATTGACAGCTTTCCATACCATTTCTGAAATCGATCGTTTTAGATGAGTCGAAAATAGAGATTTTGTTAGACTGGAAAAGGGAATGGTATTCCTTTCTATTACAAGAAAAGGGGGAAAATGGGGTTACTCAACACTCATAACTCTTCCTTTAGTATATTCAATAATATAAAACATAAATTTATATTTCTTATTTTTTTTAAATAAAAACAATATATATACATATATGAACACTTATACGAAGACATCAAATACTTTTTTTTTTTTTTTTTTCTAATTTTATCTTTTAATCGTATGTATCACAACTCAATCTTAGGTTAAATATACATTAAATAATAACCTAAATCTTTATATTATAATGTCGATTCTTATTAAAGTGTGTTTTAAAAAAACATAACATTTTATATTTATTAAATTGTAATTTAAATAAACATAAACTTTTTAAATTGCCATTTTATATAATATGTTAAAACAATTTAATAAGTAAAGATTATTTATATATCATTATACAATATTATTATTTACATATTTCATTATCATAAAAAATTTAATTAGTATTCAATTTTCAAATTCAATTAAATACAAATTAATTTACCTATAAATCCTATGTAACAATTACTTTCAGATCCTTAATTTTATTTTTAACAGTTTTTTTTAAATTTTTTTATTTATCAAACAGGAACATGGATGAAAATGACGCTAGAGGGAGAAGAAAAAAGAGAGTTATATTTGGATAACAGAAAATTTAAAAAACCCAATACTACATCATCATCTCATTATACATCAGCAACACATCCTTTTCATTTTAGCCAATACGGTACTTTTCTTACTTTATTTTGCATTGATAATATGTTAGTTTCTTATTTATTTTAAATATAAGATTCATAATTTTATATAAGTGAAATAAATACAATACGTTATATTTAAATTTATATCAAATAAAAATATCTTTAAGTTATTTTATGCTATTTTACAGGTTCAAATAACAATATCGAATCTACAACCGCTAAAGAGAGGAGAAAAATTAGAAAGTTATATTTGGATAATAAAAAATCCAAAATATTACATAACACATCACCCCATCAAAATTCATCTATTCCACATGTTTCCAGCAAATCGAATAAAGGTATATATATTTCTTTATTTTACAATTCATTTGCAAATATAATATAAATAGAAACTTTGCATACTCTTTAATTTATTTTATTTTTATTAATTAATATTTTTTTTCTACTAACAATTTCTTTGTTATATAACATATGTCTACAATTGTCATCGTATATTACAATCTACAGATAACCATGCAAAAGTTACATCAAACAAGGAAAATATAAACTCAACCAACTCATGTGTATATCAACATACACGTACTCAATCTCCTTCAACAAATAAATATGTTACAACACACTTATCAACAGTTTCAAATGGTATGCATTTCTTTATTCAAAAATTAAAAAATATATGCTTCAAAATTATATAAAACATAACAATTCCTAATGTTCTAATCTGTATTTTCATTTTATCAAACAATTATATTCTCAACAATAACGTTCAAACACCATTATCTATTTACAAAGATAATTCAGTGTTTCGCATTGGCAAGACATCCACCAATCCCTCGACAATAATTCATAATTCTTCTTCAACAAATATAAATGTTATAACTCCATTTTCTAAAATTTCAAATGGTAAGCATTTCTAAATACGCAAATTTAAAAATATATGATTCACATTTATATTAATCATAGCAACTATTGACTTTTGATTTCTATTTTTTTTACAGGAAATTATATTTTCAATAATAACTTTCAAACACCACTATCTATTAACAAAGATAATTTGGTGTTTCGTAATGCCACGACATCCAGCAATCGTTCGACAATAATCCAAAATTCTTCATCAATCAAGTTACCAAGAGGAAAACATCATCTAAAAAGGAAGACTCCAGATATATCCTCTATACCTGTTTTTGACTTGACATTAGATGAAGAAATTCATGATGCTCATATCGTTCACGATATTTTCCATGGTATATCAAAAGGTGATCATAATTCTATATTTTTTAATATTCTAATTTTTTTTTTATTTTTTTAATTATATAATTTTTTTTTGCATTTAATAGATTACTTGGATCATGGAGACAAAACTGTTACATGTCACCTTTGTCATGCAAAATTATGGATAGATGAATCTCTTAGAGGGCAAAAAAAAGGCAATACATCTTATTCACTATGTTGTTACGGCAAAGTTGAGCTACCACCCTTAAAAGAAGCACTGTCATCTTACCAAAATCTTTACAAATCGGTAGATTCAAAAAGCAAGCACTTTATGAAGAACATTCGACGTTACAATTCAATGTTTTCATTTACATCGATGGGAGGAAAAGTTGATTCATCCATCAACAAAGGCAACGCACCATACATATTCAAACTTAGCGGTCAAAACTATCATAGTATGGGAAGTCTTTTACCTACACCTGGATCAAGACCAAAATTTTGTCAATTATACATATATGATACCGAAAATGAAATTTCAAATAGATCGACAACTATTGGGTATATTTTTACAATTTCCTATTCTTTAATAAATCAATTTATTTCTTTTAATTCTTTTAATAGCATTAAATATGTTTTATAATATTTTTAGTGGACCGACAAGCACTTCTACATTAACTTCAATATCATATGATCTCCAGATTATCAAGTTTTTGAAGGTTATGTTAGATTCAAACAATGCGTTAGTCAAGTCTTATAGGATGGTAAGAGACAGTCTTCACGAAAACCCTGGTGCTAATTTGAATTTAAGATTAATAGGAAAAAGAGAACAAGATGGAAGGACATATAACTTGCTAACTTCTTCGGAGGTAGCCGCTTTAATTGTCGGTGACATTTCTGATTCGGTTGAAAAAAGAGATATCGTTGTTCAAACCTCATCAG